TCGCGGGTGACAGAAGGGGTGCAGAGCCTCCGGTGGTGGTGGGGGGAGTCGGGGAAGGGCCGCGTCCCGTCAGCCGCTACCGGCGCCCGCCTTTCAATAACTGCCCCCGGGCGCCGCTCCCCGGACCTGGCGATCCTAAACCCGGCCCCCCGCCCTCCCCCTGATTGGCCGGTCGGGGTTTGTTGGCCCTGTTGCTAAGGCGATACCAGCCGCTGATTGGAGGAGCCGTTGGCCGCGGGGCGGGGAGGGGAGCAGGTTCCCCTGCCCGCACAGCCGGCGTGCGCCGGCAGCGCACACCTCCCCCCTCCCCCGGGGGCGGGGAGGGAGCGCTCCCCTGAGGAGCCGGCGCGGGGGGGGAAGCCCCTCTGTGAGGGCGGGACGCCCTGCCGCCAGTCACGTCCCCATCGCCCCCCGCCGCCGCCCCACACACACACCCCGGTAACGTCCCCGGAGGGGTCTCGGCAAAAGGCGGTCGGCGCCCCGCCTCCCTTCCTTCCCTCCCTCAGCCGGCGGGGCGCGGAGCTGCTGAGGGAATGGCGGCGGGTGTAACGTATACCGTATGTATATGAGCGGCTGGCTGGGGATCCGCTCGCGCCGGTTTAGGCCGGTCGGCTCCTGCTCCAGCCTGGCCCCTGATTGACAGCTCAGCACTTGTTTACCACAGCTCCGCCGCGGCCGCCCGGCTCGGCGGGACTGCTGAGCTGGCAGAAAAGGGGGGGTGGTGAGGGGGGAACTTGTCTGTGAGGAGGAGGTGGCCGTGCGGGGACAGGGAGCCAACGCCAAAAGCCACGCTCCCCTTCTCTTTCTCTCAAAAAAAAAAAAAAAAAAAAAAAAAAAAGGCAAGCCACCCTCACGCTAAACACATTGTCTCGCCATTTCGGCGCGTTTTCCTGACATGTATTTCGTGACGCTGTGTGCTGAAGGTGCATTTGGTCGACAGCTTGCTGGTGGAGGCTTTTTTTTCTTTTTTTTTTTGGTTTGTTTCGCCTTTTTTTTTAAAGATTTTTGTCAGCGTTTGCGGCACACGACAGGAAAGGGAGCATCGGCATTTCTGTAGGACAATGGGAACTTAAAACCCTCCTGTGTGCCTGCCTACCTCCATTAATGCTTCAGACCATTAAGTATAAGCGGTTGCTTTTCGCACTGTCTCCCTATATCCCCTTCTATTATTCCAGCCCTTTTTATGTGCGAGGTGCTCAGTTATTTTTCTCTCAACTTTCTATTTTGATGGAGTCAGCATTTTTCTGCTCTTACGGTAATTATGTCAGAATAAACTGCAGATTTGTTGCAGTGCTTAAAGGCGTACAAGAAATCATGACCATAAATGAAGGCTGGCTTTCTGGGTGGAACCAGCAAATACCTGGATCTCGCTGTCCAAGCAAGATCAAGTTAACCTATCAAAAACCAAAAAGTTTAGCTCTAGACAGCATTGATTGAGCAGCTTGCCATTTTCTGTGCCTCTGGTACTTTCCAGGTGGTGCTTGTACAACCTTTTTTTTCCCCCCCCCCCCCCCCTTTTTTTTGTGATTAATTTGTGGGTACTCTTGCTGGGCAGGAGATAAAAGGAAGTTGAATTACTAAATTTAATCTTACACAGCAGACTTCACGCAGATTGCTTAATGGTGTTAAAGAGCCATCTCTATTTCATTTTAACTAAGAATCGCAGTGGAAAGCATGATTTCCATTACAGGTCTTGCAGACGGGCCTTGAAATGGCAGCAGTTACAACTGTGTCAGTGTCCAGAGGCAAGATCATAAATGAAAGCAAATTAACCTCTGCTTCTCTGTAAGGTGAATCTGGCAATCTTGCCTACTCTTCTGTAGGTAGGATTTGTCCATGCATCCAGTAGTTAATGCAAAGGGACCAGAGACCCTTGCACCACGTTCTCAAGTGCAGTAATGAGTGTGTAAATCCTTTTATTCTGAAAGAGAAGCCCATGTAATGTACAAAATGTGTACAGGTGGAATAGCATATTGGGTTTTTTTTCCTCCTAGATGATGACAATTCAGAAGAAGGCCTTCACACCATCCACTCGGGAAGGCACGAATATGCATTCAGCTTTGAGCTTCCACAGACGTAAGTGCCTGCATGCAGTCCTCGTGCCCTGCTGCCCACCCGCCTGAGCAAAACTCCTGCTGTGGGTGAAGGGGAAACCTTTTCAATGGTAGTAGGAATTGTGCTCTGACATGCAGTGGAGGACATAATCTCATTAAACTGAAGAGGTTGCTTTTTTAAACTGACACACGCTTGCTTTTCTTTTTATTTCCACAAACTGGGAGCTCATTGCTGCCCAGTTGCTCACTTCCTTTTGACCAAGTCTTATTGACTTACTAGGTCTTCCAGTATTTTACCCCTTCCCAAGAGGAGGAAGAGGAATGTGAACCATTGCTGGAGTACTGCAGAGTGGCTGAGATACCTTCTAATCCAGCCAACAGTTTACTGGAGCCATGTAGGCTAGCAGAACTAGAGATAAGATCACAGCTGAATTGTTTGGGCTTAGTCTGGAACAGATGTGGCAAGTTTAGCTACCTTTGAACAAAAGAGGAGGTTGTTCTAGTTTAAATAGGTTGTCTGCACTCAGGCTGGCCTTTATGCAGAAAGCCTGGATGGGAATAAGCAGAAGGATGGGTGGATGAAGCAAGAAAAACTCCAATACCTAATCCCATTTGTCTCAGCAGAGGTGAAGCAGGAGTGAGAGCAGAAGTGTTAAGATAAAGATTGTTTCCACACCCCCCTGAGTCTGAAATGTGTAATGTAGACATTGTGAATGGGAGATTTATACATAGAGGAGTTACCAATATGGAAATGAGCTAAAAATACAAGTTGCAATAAAATTAAGTACACTGGAACAGAGGGAGTCTCGACATGGATGGAAGAAGGAGCCTTTTGCTGTAAAAGGCAAGCAGTGAAGTCATTAAGGTTGAAAAAATTTGGCAGTGTTATGTGAAATAGCTCAGTACCTAATATTAAAGCTAATAAACCATCTGTTTATTAGAGGTGCTGGTTTTAGGAGAACCTGCAGATGATCAACGCTTCTGCGGGTCAGTTTGAAAGTGAATAGCACCGGACTTTACAGTAGATCTTACAGGAACAGCGGAGAAGACATGTATACATGGAGATTTTTAAAGACAATTTAGCGTTCTGAAAATCTCAACTACAAAAAGAAAGAAGGCTAATACTGATCTTTGTGGAGTTGGAAGGGGCATTTAAATACAAAAAAAACCCCACCAAAACATTATACACGAATGTGAAATGCCTAGCTTGAAGTGAAGCAGATAGCCAGCAAGATATCACAAGCATTGGCCAAAGCACAGGTTCTTTGTTTAAGTGACCTGAAAGAATAACTGTGAAACGAGCTGTTAATAATACTGAAAAAACAAAGGCTGGTATTAAAAGGCTGAAGTTTGACACTGCTTACTTATTTGTTATTTTGTGCCCATAGAATACTTCCAAAATTTACTTAAACTGAAGAGCAACAGTGGAAAGAAAGGTGATGCACACTGGCCTTACTGATTTTTGCCCTAAAGAGTATGGGACAGGATGAAATATTAGACTGATTAGAAAATCCTTTCATTTGGATTATTAGGGAGATAAAGTAAACATCTCAGATGTGCAAGGCTAGTAGTATTCCCCATGGAAGATATGGGAGGTTTGCAAATAATTTAATTTATATATTATAATGTATTCAAAACATAGTATAATAGAAGAAAATGACTTGCGTAAAAATAAGTTACAGAAAACTACTGTTAATTGGAGATAAATGGAATATAAAGATCTTCTGTCTTTCATTTTATGATGTTACAGGAAAAAAAGGTGATGCTGAAAGGTTTGGAGATCCTTTCCACATCGTTTTGCCTCCAGCTCCCAAAAAGGACTTCTTTCATCTGTCAAAAGTTCAGAGCAGAATAGGCTTGATGTTTTTATGTATATATTTGCTTATAAATGTACAGCCCATATACAATATAAATGTTTTAAGCTGGTCTTGTCAGGGTAGAGGAAGATTAGAAGGTACTCAAAATAGCCTCTCTCTTCAGAACTCAAAATACTTACTCTGCTTAAGGTGAAACAAACTACAAAAGTGCTGAGTTACAGCTAAAATTAACCTGACACTGAGATGCCAGCCAAGTGGACAATAGACAATGATTTACAAAATATGGTATCCAAAACAATAATTGGTTGATGCTAATGCTCATTTTAAGTTGGTAGTCATAATTTGGCCTTAAAAGGACATGCTTTACTCCAGAATTGAAAGTGGCCTCTTTAAGTTTAAAGGAACTGTGTACCCTCCTGGCTTTTTCTAGTACAATTCTTTAATTGATTTTTAAAATCTCTGCAAAACTATAGTAGGATGAATTGCAGATAATTTTTTTTCCTCTGATCTTTAATCTTGAATTTTGCTGAGGGATGGAAACTTTGCAAATAAGTTACGCTGCATTAAATACTATAATGCATTAAAAATGCCATTCTACATACTAATCCCTGATCTGATCAATTGTATCATTATTGGACAGAAAGACATTACTCAATTTTGACCTTTGTGTCCTGCACAGACCACTTGCTACCTCATTCGAAGGCAGACATGGCAGTGTGCGCTATTGGGTGAAAGCCGAATTGCATAGGCCTTGGTTTCTACCAGTAAAATTAAAGAAGGAATTTACAGTCTTTGAACATATAGATATCAACACTCCTTCATTACTGGTAAGAATTGACAGAATTACTCATTCTTTGTTTCTGGCATAAAAACAATGAAGTATAATAACTGAAACAATATCCACATCTAATTTTACTTAATATTTATTTGCTAGTGTAGTTACAGCTGATCTTTTAAGTACTACATCAGTTCAGCAGCTCTGTAACTACTGGTATTTTGAAAGCTATGTTTTCCTGTACTTGGAGTTTCTTTACTTCTAAGATATGTAAAAAGGCTTTGTCAATTTAAATTGGTAATACTAAATTGTAAAACGTCATTGAGAATGAAAATTCTGAGAGCTGTTCCTCTTTGATTTTGAATAATCTGTGGAAGGAACAGTGAAGTGTAAAAGAATACTATAGTGAGAGACTGCTAACTTAAAAATGCAAAGTAAAAAATGTACTGGCCTGCGTAATTGATAATCTCCATATGGATGGTTTTCTACCAATGGGGGGAAATTATCACAAATCTGTATAATTTCTGAAATGTCATTTCATTAAAATATTTTCAGTATCACATCTGCTTTCAATGAGGTTCTGATTTCAATTCGGCCTAAAATTCCTTTTCTTTTTTTTTCTCCTCCTCTTCCTCAAATTCTAATCCATGGAGGGGGAAAAAAACCTCAAAGTCCATTGAAATAGGTTTCTTGTGTGTATGGGTAAAAAATCAGACTTGCAAAGGGACATTGGCCTTGTGCAATTTCCATTAAAATCAAAGGACTCCCATTTGACTTCAGTGGTCTTTCGATCCAGTCCTAAGTCCTGAAATAAAAAAATAACGAAGTCTGTTTAATATAGATGAAATGGGGTCATTCCGGAGCAGAGGAAATAGCAGGAGTCAAGGTTACAGTACTTTAGCTTAGTTATTGTTTCTGAAATGCAACGTACTTGAGAGATGTTCTAGTTTACTGATAAATGAAAAGCTCTGCTAACTCTTTCTTGGGATAATGTAGGCTGTAAAGCCTTTTCTTAAGTTATACAGTATTTATGTGTAAAAACTGTTTTAAGTCTGACTGTAGTATGGAAATGTAGCAGAAAAAGCAGTGTTAATGAGTAGTGGGATTAGAATAAACCTTATATCTGCACAGTGCTGTTTAAATTCCTTGAGGTTTTTCTTCCTCCAAATAAAACTAGCTATGTATATCAAAATAATAAGTATATTATGAAGATAACTTTTTGTGCTGATCAAAACAGATAGAGATTCATGGAACTCTTAATGAAAATGTGCAATGTTGTTCTTTTCTTGCAGTCACCCCAAGCAGGCACAAAAGAAAAGACTCTCTGTTGTTGGTTTTGTACCTCAGGCCCCATATCCTTAAGTGCCAAAATTGAAAGGAAGGGCTACACCCCAGGTACGTAACAGAAGTAATTATAGGAAATGTTTTTCCTTCCCTTTTAAAACAACAGTTTGTGCTTGCTGCTTTTATATAAATGAAATATTTAAACTGTTCTTACACCTCAGTCTGCATTCAGCAATTGTCTTGATATTTTCTTAACTGTGACTAATTTTGTTAACTAATGCTAGCTGTGTCTCCACTTTGTTGAAGGACATCTGCTTCTATGAGACCTGTGCATTTTTCTTTTAGATTTGCTCGTGGTGGTCCTATTCCTGTTGGCATCAGTGGATGTTTGTAAGGGTAGAGCATTGCTAGCAGCATCTAGTGCATTATAACAGAATGTGGCAATTCGCTCTAAGCTGCCTTGTAAATGTAAAGAGAATGTGAAATTCTGTTCTGTTTCAGGTGAATCAATTCAGATCTTTGCTGAGATTGAGAACTGCTCTTCCCGTGTGGTGGTGCCAAAGGCAGCCATTTACCAAACACAGGCATTTTATGCCAAAGGGAAAATGAAGGAAGTCAAACAGCTTGTTGCCAACCTGCGTGGGGAATCCTTGTCATCTGGCAAAACAGAAACCTGGAATGGCAAACAGTTGAAAATTCCACCTGTTTCCCCTTCGATCCTCGACTGTAGTATAATCCGTGTGGAGTATTCACTGATGGTATGTACATTGGATGATGTGTTTCACTTGAGCATGAGTAGTTTCCATCATTTCTTGCAAATTGCTAACAAAGCGTTCTATGCCAACTAGTTACAAAAGAAATAGATACCCTATTATTAGTGTCCTGACAGGAGTTCTGTAAATAAATTCAGTTTAAATCATGCATGTTCTTAAAACAGTTATGGAGTGCCAGCTGAGCAAACGTGTTATGAGTAGGCAACAGTTCCATGTGAGGGGTCATGTTAAGAATCCTGAGCTGCTTTTGACTTGGGGAGCTTTTTTGCTCCACAGGGGCATTGGCCCTAAAACAGACAATGAGAAACTTAAGTTCCTCATGGAAAATGCTGTGGAAACTTAGTCTAATCATTACAAAGTGTTTATACACCTCTTTGTTGTTGTTGTTCTTTAGGTATATGTTGATATTCCAGGCGCCATGGATTTATTCCTTAACTTGCCGCTGGTCATTGGTACCATTCCTCTACACCCATTTGGTAGCAGAACATCAAGTGTGAGCAGCCAGTGTAGCATGAACATGAATTGGCTTGGTCTGACACTGCCTGAAAGACCAGAAGGTAACTTGACAATACAAATCCCAGTCAATTTGCTAGTCTTGTTTTGATTTTTGTCTGCTTTATTCATTGCTATCATGCAAACAGATCCAAATTATATCCATCATAATAAAGCCCACAGGAAATCCTTTCTGGGTGTTTCCTTGCCACCTGCTTGTTCTCTGTAGAAGAACAGAGTTCTGTCCCTGCCTTCGTCTCTCAAAGACAAGCAATGAAATGCCAGCTGCTTGGAAGCTGGCACAAGTGAAAACACGGGATGCCATTGTACCTGTGCAGAATTAATTCTGCCTCCAGTATCCCAATTGCATCCTTGGTTATAAGGCATTGTAACCTGTCAAAATAGGAGTTTGTGTCCTTTACCAGCCTTAGTAGCCAAGGCTTTGTGAAAAGTTAATGTAATTCATTTCAGTGGGAAATATCCCTTGTGAAAGGAGAAACTCTGTGTCTCCTTCCCTTTGTTTTCATATATCTAATAAACATCCCTTTTTTATGTACAAGTCCCAGACTCAGGTTTGTGGAGTCCAGAGGAAGGCAATGTTACATCATTCCTACCTGTGCAGAAATTTAGCATTCTGGGTATGCTTTAAATTTCAAGGGGATAGTTAGGCCACAATAAGCAGTGATCAGTCTGCTCTTGGATTTGAGCATAACCTTACAATAAAACAAAACCGCCTACCCTCCTTTTCATGTTTAATAACTGTTAAAAAGTCACTGAAATAATTTACCTACCAATGGTACATTTTACAATGATAGAAGTTTAATATTTATCATGTTACATATTTTGACATGTGTTAAGAACTTGTTGTTTGAGCTGCATGTGCCTTTTTCCCTGCAGCACCTCCTAGCTATGCAGAAGTGGTCACAGAGGAACAAAGACAGTCCAGCCTTGCACCCATAGGTGCTTGTGATGACTTTGAGAGAGCGCTTCCAGGACCATTGTTTGCATATATCCAGGAGTTCCGTTTTCTGCCTCCACCGCTCTATTCAGAAGTAGGTACCTCAGACAGAATATGATGATTAATTCACTGCTTTTCTGAATTCTGTCTTGTGGAATAAATGTAGAAAGCTGTTTCTCCTTCCTAAAACTCAGGAGAAATCATTAAAATGATGAGTAAGGGATAAGGTGACTTCATTTTGGCAAAGTGCAGGTGGACTGCATCAAGAGTTTTCAGGATTCTTCACAGTTCTGATGCTTTGTAGAAATTTCCAAACTGTTGTCTACCGTCTTAGCAACTTCATTAAAATCTTACATTACATATACAATATATTGTATTGGTTAACACCAACATTTTGGGTCTATAGATGCACAGCATAGTAATGTTTTTCAGCTTTGCTTTCTAAAACTACTGTGCATTTTTGGTTCTGTGTGTGTAGTGCCTTCAGAGGTTCCAGGTGGAGAAGTTACAAAGGTAGTCTTTCTGACTTCTCCAACATCCCTGCTTGCATTTTTAATTCTGTGAAAGCCACTCAATAACCATGACTTAACTTCAAAAGCTTTCCATCTCCATATTTTTCAGGAAAAAGCAGTGGTATCAGAAGTTAAATAGTGTCCTCTAGCTATGTGTTGCCTGAATTCACCCTCTGATTTTTTTTTCTTTTCTGCTCCTGAAGCAGTAATCTGCTACTGAGTGGGCAGAGAGGAGCATGGTTTTTGTGTGCTGGAGACTTCTCTGAGGACTCTTCCATAGCTTAACCCTAGAATACAACTCAAGTCCTTTTCATTTTAAGTACTTAAAGATTTAGAAAGAAGGCTTTTTTGTCCTCAAAAAAATGGTTATATAAAATCAACTGATAAGAATGTGACTAAACTACATACTGTACACTTCAACAATTCTTACTATCCAGTTTTGGAGACTGAAGTTAGCAGGTTATTCCCCTTCTTCCTTTTGTAGAAAGGAAGAAGTAAGGTGTGGAACACATGAACCTCTAAGACATTTTATGGGGTGTATGAAGATGAATTACTTGTAAATTAAAAGTGGGATGACTTTTTACAGTAAGTTTGTGTCTTTTGAAGCAAAACATCTTCTGAAATCAATTAAATATTTTAAGTCACATTCCTAGTGATGAGTTGTCTTTTTACTGTCCAGTAAACAATTGAAGATTCCTGTGCTACTAAAGCAGATTTTTTCAGGTTTTTTTAGTTCCTTGTGCTTAGCCTTAAATTACCATCAACCTGTAGTTTAAAATTTTCCACCAAGTTACTAATCTTTCATTCAAAGTTTTGTATAATTGACTAGAGGTTTTTCAGTTATTTTAATAACCTTTGGATTGGGAATGGCATTTATCACTATGATTGTCTTAAACTTGTCAGTTTTGGTGGGGTTTTGTTGCGATTGGTTTATTTCTAGCAATTGACTCTAAAAATGCCTTGGGTTTTTTTGTTGTTTTTTTCCTCTTTTGGTTAGATTGATCCAAACCCAGATCAGCCCACAGATGACAGACCATCTTGCCCCTCTCGTTGAAGGAATCCGTAAAAAGCTGACTTGACTCGGGTTTTGAATCATACCTGCCGTGTTGAAGGTCAAGGCATCATAGTGGAGACACACTTTCAAAGAAGTGGTTTTGCTCTTGCCTGTATGGTGAATAAGTGAAAACAACCTGTGATCATGCTCTGAAGCTTACAGTATCACTGTAGGACTGCTCCACATGCTTGAAGACCTGAGCTTTCCCACCTCCCTCCCACTCCCCCCTTAAATACTGGCACATACTAGGAGCAGCCTTACTAACCTACAGTCATGTGTGTCAAAACACTCAAACCACATTGTAAGAGAGGGATGGTTTCCTCTTAATGGTTTGGAAATTTGCACATGCTCATTGCTTACGTTGTGCGGTTCAGTGTCACTACAGCTTTTTCTCATTTATGCCAGACTGTTGTTACCCCCCTTCTTGTTTGTGGTCCGCACAATAAGGAGCAAAACAAAGCTTTGGCAAAAAACAACAGCAACAGACTTTGACAAATGCACTGACTTTTCTTTTTTTAATTTAATGTAGCCTGGACTTTACCTGCATATGCACATGCTCAGAATTGTCCTAGTAGGCTGATCATGTATCACCTCTTCAGCTTGGATCCTATTGTGGATTTATTTACAAACATCAAATGCCTTCAAGCCAATTCTTCTTGCTGTATGTTTTGCAGCCTACTGTAGTAGATAAGCAACAGATGTGGGGATAGGGTGGGGGGTGGAGAGCTGATAGAAACTAATAGACTTCATCAAGATTGTATATCTTCCTGATTTCTTTTGAGAATTTGTTGCCTTTCTACTATTACCACAAAGCAGCATTTTGTTACAGACTGCCTAAAAATCACTTAATCTCAGGTGAACTCATCACTTGCCAAACTGTTGGAATGCTATTTGTTTTGTTACGTTGCACTGTTGAGTTACTTCTCTTTCGTTTTGTGTTTGTGTTTTGTTTTTGTTCTTTATTCGAGAGGGGGATCTGGAATAGGGACATACACAAAAGTTACAAAACCCACCCACATTCCCATTTTTCTTTCTACATTACAAAAAAAGGTGTTCAAGTTGTGAAGCTTTAAAAAAAGAAGGCACAAATGAAAGCAGCACCAGCAGCCACCAGCTCATCCTGAAAAGAATTTTAAAAGGAAATAGTCATACACTGTCTAGGTTTCATAGACAGATTGATATCTCAAGTAGTAGGGATGGGAAGGGAAAGTAAATTTATTTTTATATATAGTTACCTTATCACCAAAAATTCTATATGTAATGAGTCTCTAGTAGAAAGTATATTTCAAACTGCAGGAAAAGCTTGGACTATGCGAAGAGCTCAGTTTGTGCACTTTGTATTATCTTCAGGGTTTATGATAATGTAAACATAGTAAGACTAGAAGTAATAATTAAACTGGGCAAGATCAGTGTTACCAGCCATACTCAGTTAGCTAGAATTGCTTTGATGATTGCATCTTCTGTGGTACTCTCAAGAGCTTTAAAACAAACAGAACAGTGAATTTTACCATATTTTCATTCAGAATGCAAGAAATTCCATGGAAAGAGCACTCGCCTTTGAGTGTGCCCTAAGGAAGAAAAGAGTGCAATGGAGCTATTAGATGTGCTAACACAAATAACAGCACTTACATGCTAGAGATTTACAACAAAAGTCAACTTTCCTTTTCAGAAACCATGTAACACAGACCATTGACAAAGGGACACGCTTCTGGTGTTGACGACTTAAATCAAGATGTAATCCATCAAGTATCTATCTCCTTGTGCAATAAAAGAGCTCAGAAGGGAGCGGGAGAGGGGAGGCTGGTGTTTCTGCGTGGTGCTCGTTCTTAAAAACATCTGCCTTGCTTTTAAGGCTTCATAAATGCGACAAAGTAGGCTTTTCCATAAGTGGCCTTTATGAGAACATGAACAATAATTCATGTTTCAAAAATGACAACAGGGTGATAAAATATAAATGAGTCGCGTTTTAAGTGATTCAGTTAAAAGGCTTGGGCTTTGAGCAAGAATATTGGACAAGAAGGAGATTGGGTGATGTCTTATGTTATTAGGCCAATTTTGTGAATGTCCCTTCCCTCTACCCTCTCCAACCAGACAATTTTAAAAGCTGATGGGATCGTTGGCATAAAAGGGCATTTGGTGGTTTTACTTTTTTTTCCTTTTTTGTTACTTTAACAGACTAGGGAACAATTGCTGATATACATAGCATTAAAGTACTTACCACAATATAATGGAAAACTGCATATGAAGCAGGATTGACCAATATCGTAGTAATTGACATGGCATCACAGCCTTTGTGATTAGAGTGAAAAATTCTGTAACTTTTATCAAATAAAGACTTTATGTTTAAATTACATCGGTAGTTGTTCAGAGGCATTACTCTTCCACAAGTATTGGTCAATTCTCAGCATTACAAAACATGAGGTTCACAGCTGTAGCCCAGTATTTGATATAGAATTCTGATCTGAATTAGGAAAAAGTAAGTAAAATCCAAACATTAGAGAAACAAAGTGCAATATTAAATGTTTGCTTTATAGATTATATTCTATGGCTGTTTGTACTTTTTTTGTTTTTAGTTTTGGTGCTGAATATGTCCTTGTAGACTCTGTTTCAAGAAAACTATGTGGAAAACAGTTTAATTTTTCCTATTGCTCTTCCTCGTGGAAAATAAACTTTTTTTTTTTTTAAAAAATGCTTTTACATGTTACAACTTATTATACATGACCTAAATAGTTTATTCAAAGCACATGTCTGTACAAAATCCTAACCACAAGGATCACATAATAAGGAACTTAATACAGGAACGCATGTAGTACCTGTCTCAAACTAGGTAGGGAAAAGCTATTTCTAGAACCAGAGCACCACCAAGTCCGGTCTCGGCACCCTTGGCCCCTTTTATTTACGTCGGTGACCTTTCGGGGCTGGCTCCCAGATGGGAAACTACAGCTTCCTCCGTGGGGAAGTGCCAGGAACTGGTGGGACCAGGCATGCTTTTCCAGGACACGGTGTTTGTCTATCCCTGCAGCTGTGGTGACCCTAGTTCCAGGAGTCTGGTCCCTTCCGTGAGATGGGGCTGGGGGTGCAGGGAGGGGGCGAGATGCCGTTTTGGTGGGGATGGGAGGAAGTCGGGGAAGGGGAGTGACCGAATCCAAAGGTCTGGCGTGCAGCTGGAGCTGTGGGAGGTGGTCTGGAGGAGGTGGTCTGGAGGAGGTTCCCGTTGCCGTTCCCTCGGGAGCTGCGGTGTGACCAGGAGCTGAAGATGTCCACCTGCGATGTATTCGCGGAGCTCCCCAGCGTGCCAGCGGCGAGGCACTGCCTCCGGCTTCCGCATACCACGCACAGCTGAACCTCTGACAAAACGGATTGTCGTCATCCTTCGGTATCAACATGTCGTTTGACCTAAGAGAAGGTTCAGCGGGCGAGCAGCCAGGGGCTCGGGTGGCCGGCCCGCCCCGTTGCTCTCGGCTGGTGTTCGGGGAGCGGGGACCACTGCGTTCCCGTAGTACGTACCCTCGATTTAATGGTGCAGCTGGTGAGGCGGACAGCCCAAACGTCTGGTCCAATGCCATACATGATACAAACAGCAGGACCTAGCTCTCTGAAACGGAGCATTTCAGTTTAATTTCAAGTTTGTTATGATAGAGAATGCAGGCAGACTTTTTAGGGGTTTTTTTCCCCCTATTAATAACACCATTGATCATTTCTGCCTGAGTTCTGGTTCAAACCACTAAGAAACAAAAAAGCTTGTCTCTCATTTTGCTCATCTAGTGGAAGCTCTTTCATAGCTGAGCGACAAGGTTCTTTTTCTAATACCTGCACAAAGTAACCAAGTGTCTAATGCTATGCGGCAATGTTAGAATTTAAATTAGCATCATTTAAGGGACACACACTTGAAGCAGTTCTGTGCAACATGTTCTTCAAATCTCACGTTTTTAGACCAGCGCCTCTACTTAACAATTTAAGCTTAGCTTTCTTGTCACCATTATTAAAGTTGGAAGTTACCGAGTTTTTGTTATTTGAGATCCAATTTTTTAATGTAAATGTTTCTTATTTCTGAGTATTAAAATACATGTGCGCACATACAGATCTGTGCTACACCAGGATGTAAAACTACTGTCGCTTCCACATCAGCTGTCCATAAAAACCTAGGGAAGGGCAGCGAGTTACAACGCTTGAGCACTTCAGCTTCTGAGAGGCGCAATGCAACGCTGCAAAATTGATCATCTTTTCTGGCAATTATCTAGCTAAAACATGTTATCTAGCACTTTTTAACTTCTTTCTAGATTTAAGCCCTTTTCTCTTTTGCAGAAACAAACCACCAACTTGCCATATACTCCAGCCACCTGAGCTTTCCACGGCAGGGCTACAAGGACGAAGCCCAGCTGCAGAACTGGAGAAGGGTCTCCAGAAGCGGCGCGTGAAGGTGGGCATCCACCCAACAGCGGCTTTCCACGGGAAAACGGCTTTGCCCGGGTGAACGCCGACGATTTGAACCGACTCCTGTGACTCGAGGTACAGGGCTGTGGGCAACTCTGCAGCGAGTCAAATGCCCAACATCGATTTTCAAGTGTTGCGGGAGGACAACTGCTCCTGGGGCCGTAGAGTCTGGACGTCCCACGCGGGGTGGGTTTTGAGCAGACCCTCCGCTTCAGAGGTCCACAGAGACTTGAGGAGGGACCAGGAGTTGCACTGCATGACCGTTACCGTAGATTTCAGCTCCTTGATTTTGTTTAGTGAAAACCACTTGCAAAGGCTCATTGTCAGGCACATTCCACCTGCCTTCCAGACCATAACCTGGAAATAGGAGAAAAGTAACCTATTTCTTCTCCCAGCAATCATTCACTCCTAGAACTCCCTGACCTAGCTACAGCCTGCTATTTTTAGAGCTGGATGTCCCTATCTCCTGACCTAGTGGACATTAGGACAGAGTGGTAGCTTCTGAGCAGAGGCCAGGTGCTGCCACAAAATCTGAGTTGAAGAGTGTACCTTTCATCTAATCCAGCTCATAATGGGGAAGATAACAGAGTTCAGAAGGACACTGTGTTTTGAGTTTGCTTCAGGTACCTTGCTATGTTTGTCATATTTGGATGAAAGACAAAGTCCTAGAACAGAGAAGGTGAGAGCTTTAAACATAACATAAAGTCATTTAAGAGATGTATTTTTAGGGGAGTAAGAATATATAATTAAAAAAAAAAAAAGCCCATCCAGAAGCTACTATCAAAGTGCAAAGCCTAACACTATGCATTCATTCTCTGCTGCTCCAGCAGTAAAGTCTGATGTCTTACAGAAGAAAAAACAAAATCTCTCTAAGATGGTGCATTCCGTCTACCACAAGCAGCTCCCTGCAGGGTTTCCAGCTGGGGACACCGGAGGGAACGACCAAGTTCACAGTGGTCCCCATCACTCCTGCGCATCACTGCCGAGGGACTCTCGCCTTCCATCTCGAGTCTCGCCAGGATAAAGCGTGCCTTTGACTCGCCAACTCTCCACCAAATGCTTGGGGATGGGGAGGCCAGGACCCGTTAGGTATTTGTTGGTTTAATAAATGTTATTTCTAAAATGAACCGATGAATGCAATGCCATTCAGTTGTTCTCAGAGGAGGTAGGATACTTTTGTTTTCAGCTGAATACACGGAGGGAAAATAGGAGGAGGGGAAAAATTCTTGCAAAACCTAATATTATTTATTTTTATCTGAAAATTAATGCAGTTGCCCAGATCTAAGCAAGGCCTTGCTGTCATTGGACTGCCTAGAATCAAAATGAAACTTCCCACTGGAGATGGTCATAGCGACGTTCAAGGCAAAATCATGATTGCCCATCAGCTAAGAAACAGAATTTAATAACTCACTCTGCGGTTTGGTAGCTTTGTAAAAGGTGTAGAGTATTCACCAGGTAATGATTTCTGATTAACAAATGACTTTTTTATTATTTACACCCTTGTTTTGGGGCCTATCCTAAATCAGTTGAATTCTGTCAATACTGGTCCATTTCTTCAGTAAGCAGCCCATTTTTTCCTGGTTAGGATTGCTAAGAGAATAGATCACTAACATCTTCAGCTCCGATTTAAAAAATTATTTCAAT